TTACTGACCGTTTGAGCAGCCACATGCACATTTGTGGCCTGCTGGAGGTCATTTTGCAGGGGTCTGGCAGTGCTCCTCCTGTCCCTCCTTGCACAAAGGCGGAGGTAGCGGTCCTGATGCTGGGTTGTTGCTCTCCTACGGCCTCCTCCACGTCTCCTGATGTACTGGCCTGTCTCCTGGTAGCGCCTCCATGCTCTGGACACTACGCTGACAGACACAGCAAACCTTCTTGCCACAGCTCTCATTGATGTGCCATCCTGGATGAGCTGCACTACCTGAGCCACTTGTGTGGGTTGTAGACTCCGTCTCATGCTACCACTAGAGTGACAGCACTGGCAGCATTCAAAAGTGACCAAACCATCAGCCAGAAAGTATAGGAACTGAGAAGTGGTCTGTGGTCACCACCTGCAGAACCACTCCTTTATTGGGGATGTCTTGCCAACTGCCTATGCTTTCCACCTGTTGTCTATTCCATTTGCACAACAGCATGTGAAATTGATTGTCAATCAGTGTTGCTACCTAAGTGGACAGTTTGATTTCACAGAAGTGTGATTGACTTGGAGTTACATTGTGTTGTTTAAGTGTTCCCTTTATTTTTTTGAGCAGTGTACATTGAGCTATCTGATTCTTGGTGCTGCCGGTGCCATTGGATCCCTTGTAATGTATTTATTATGTGTGCTGGCTTCTCTCTTGTAATCCCTTCCTTCAAAAACATTATAAATATAAACATTCAATTTCTTGTCTATGGAGATTTCAGGTCATGGTTGTCCCAAAAGTGCTTTTTCAGGAGGCAACTGGACTTTCTTTGAAGACATTTCACATCTCATCAAGAAACTTCTTCAGTTTTCTAGCACCAGGATGAATATTTGAAAGTGGGGAAATGGAAAGCATAATCAGAGTCACATGATTTCCCACTTAGTGACCACTTTGCTTAAGGACTGAGCTGCTTGTCCCAATTGTGATTGCTTAGCAAGAACACTTGTGTTGCACATATTATACTTAGAATAATGTGTAAACCCAATTATGCACCCCTTTGTATTTAGGAACTATCCTATACTAGCTTTAAGTTTAAACACATACTTACATTCCAACTACAAAAGATCTCTGTAATTTAATTACAGAGATTACCGTTACCAGTAGTTAGAAAATAATCAGAGTTAGTTTAGTCTCCAAGTAGATTTCCATGTTATAGCTGTGAAGAAAGAGCACATGACAGCAATTTATATATCTTAAAAGCAGAATTCAAGATCATGATTTTTCATCTGTCTTTGCTTAAAAGGGTAATATTCTAGATTTTGTAGATGCAAGACTAATATCAAATGTAAATATAAATACAGCAATCAGAAGTAAAATAAATTATGTATATAGGTAAAAAAGAATGTTAGGAGAACTATATATGCAAGCACAAAAGAGTAGGGTGTTACTTTTATACCCAATCTTTCTTTAGTCTCTCATCTGTCACAATCCCCACTCCCAAAGTGCTCCTGAAGGTCTATGGAACCATTTCAGTGGTATAATCTAGCATGGGATAACATACATGGAAGTAGCCAAAAACCAACAATTTCCCAAAATGGCACTCTTATTTTCTATTCTCCAGCTAGAAAAAGACCAGGTTTCATATACAGTTTCATTAGTATGCAGAATAGGAACAATATGACAATGTGCATTAGCCTGTTTTCTGTATTATTGTCCACCAATTCGTTACAGATTTCTTCACTATCCCATTGATTCTGGATTTAGAAATGGAAATAATATTATTAGCGCTACAAGTGTTTTACTTTTCTTCAAAAGGAAAGGTTATTCTTTCTTGACATAAAACTTCATGAATGCTTTCTTTTTATACAAGCTTAACCTGACACAAGTGCATTCAAAACTATATTTCTCCCACACATGCACACCAACTCCAAGAGAGAGGTTCAAAAGTGTTTTCACATGTGAAATTGTTTTGGCTTATGATGGGAAAAAAAGATTTACGGAATAAGACAGAACTAAGTTTATCTTCCCACTGACAGGTGGAGACTGACTGAGCCTTTCCCCCTTTCTTCCACCCATTCTCTTTTACATTGATATTATATGATGCAAATAGACTACAATTCATTTCAAATTATTTCTATTTTTTAAATGTTAAAACTCCAGATCAAAGACACATATGCTTAGCTGGCCAGCCTGAATTGCTACCTTCCTTTTCAATCATTTGCAGATCTGATTTTAAAATCTCAACCAGCCAGGCTTTTCCTTTCTTTTATTTTTAAAATTAACTGCAGATAAAATGCCATTTCTTCTGCTTTTGTAAATCAAGAGACCTTTGGAATTAATTCCAAATAGTTGGTCTGGACATGAATTTCACATGTCCAAAACCTCCTTCTTTGTGCTGAGATACACCCATTAATTTCTTAATTTCTTTTTCATCCATTCATTGCCGATGAGTCCGTAAATACCCTTCATCTGCTTTTACTTTGCTTTCTAAGGACAATAGAGTCCTGAGCATGTTGTCTTGATTACATTCAAAAGTGAAGGCCTGCAATGTTTCTAGGTGGGGAGGGGGGGGAGAAGGAAGCTAGTGTGTAACTTTTGGTCTGCTCTGTTGAGAAGAGTTTCAATGGGCAAGTTTACCACAATATCAACAGCATAAATAACCTCATGTCCAAGAAAAGTTCTATCTGTTAAAGTTAAAAAATAACCCTGCTAGCAGCCAAACAGAGAGGAGAAAGGAACTGGTCAGAAAGAAAAATCAGTTATGTAATCTCAGAAAACAATTTTGTATTTATTCCGACCTTTTTCGTCTATGTAGACATCTGATTTTCTCCATTTTTTTCCATTCAGATTACAAATGGCAAGAGCTATTTTTTTAGGAGTTGCTCAGATTTGAGAATATCTCATTTGTTGAGCTTTGCTTTCTAATCCATAAGATTTTTTTTTTTTTAATTTCTAAGATTGACACAAATATCCTGTACCTACATTTTTTCCTTGAGAATGTTTGGGTTATATTTTCATTATACAAATAAAAACTACAAAATTAACCCAGAATGAGAAACAAATAAGAGATAAACTTATAAAGGAAAAAATGGAATAATAATAAAAGAAGAGAACTGAAGAAAAAATAGGAACTTTTCAATGCATAATAGCTATTTTTCTTTGTAATAATCATAACTAATCAGACTTTCATTTTTTTTAATATAATCAGTTCTGCCTTCTGTTTTTTATCTTTGTAAGGTTGAAGAACAAGTCTTATAAGGAGAGCATGAAAAATCTACATTACTTGTCCAGAAGTAAAGGGTTTCATGTGATAGGAAAATAATTCAAAAAATATGACCGCCTGAGAATATTAAAACTATCAATGATTTCAATGATTCAATTAATCTTACAACATCTCCAACATGATCATTTACCTAAGCTTTTTCTATATAAATTCAATTAAATACATTAAGGCTGCAATATTATTATATTTTTGTTGAGTAAGATGTGATCTAAATTCTACTGAGATTTTTTTGGCATTGATCTTCACATATCTTCCCAGAGCCTAAGCAAAATAGAAACCTATTTCTTTATTCCATTCAGCCATTAAAGACTTCATATCAAATTGATTCATCATCAACAAAATTTTATAGTTGCAGGGGGGTGTTGTGTCATAGGATGTCATGATTGTTTGTATCAGATTAAATTTGCCAAAATCAAAAATGCACGAAGCCCAAATTAGAATGTCAGTACTCGTAATTGTAAATATAATTACATTTTGGACAGAGTAAGGTTTGTCCTTGAATGTGAAACATAATAAGCATTTATCATTTTCATTCATTAAATGATCCAATGTACAAATCCTGGTTTCCATTTAGATGATCATATAATAGTTTTATATTAATTCTGAACCAAATGTAAGATCAACGACTAACTAAAGACAGTATAACTAAGTAAATATACAATATATAATTATTCTAAAAGGCCAAATGAAGAAGTTTCAAAAAAGGTAGTCCTTCAAAATTTGGAACCAGCCAAATATACAAAATGGCATAATTCAAGATTTTGAAAAGCAAGTCTTCCTTCATTAATTCAAATTATGTTTTAAGAATATATGTAATTTTTAATAATTAAATAATTTTCCAAAACATTATATTACCTGTTTGAAAATATGTTGCAGTTACATATTACAGATATTATTCTATTATATTACTCCAGGAAATATGTTCATATTATAAGTCGTTTAACTTTGACTAAAAAATAAGGTTAAAAGACTACCATCTGCTGGGTTTGAAAGATAGCTTACATGTTTTTATTCTTATTTAAAGTGAGTATTTTCAAAATATCACACAGAATAAAAGCTATAGGTATTCATACTAATATTTATAATAAATGCTAAACTGATAACTGCTTGATTAATTAATGAATGGATTTTTCAAACATTTTTTAAATAATAAAATGTAATTCGTGTAAGCCTAATTTATATCATGATAATTATATAAATATATTGTGTATATTATAATCTTATTGAGTAGTATAAGCAGAGGTTTGAAACAAATATTAAAGATCAAAGGGAGAAGCTGGCATCCTTGACATTGAAAAAAATGGATGAAAAATGTACCACTAACTTTTATTTTTGATATAGGAGCTGAATATAGAATCCAGATCCAATGTATAATTTTTTCAGGAAATCCAAACTTAGATAAAGTGGTAAACATATGCTGTTTATAAATTTAGCTAACACTTTTACATCATCTAGTAATATAACTGCACCTTGTTCCTGTTGATCTTTATTCAAATTATTCATATGAGTTGAATCTGTCTGATCTGTAGTTGCGTTTTACAAAACCAACTTGTTCATTCTTGAAGATACCACATTATGTCTACCCAAGTATTGCATTACTTTCTATTGTACAGTGCCTCATCAAATGAGGCCTAGATCAATCTATTTCTCATCCATATTAATTTCATATGCATTCCCTCATAAGTCTGTTCCATCCTGACTTGCTTCAATCTGCAATTTCTCCTTAAAAAAAAAAAAGCACCTTGTGTTTTAAGTGTATGTCTATGTATGAACGTTACTTTTAAACATATATTTTGTATAAATAACATAGAACCATATGTGCTGTTCTATACATATTAATCACAAATAAATTAATCACAAATAAATTTTATTCACAAGCATATACACATGCAAACAGAAAATATTTCAAAATTCAGGAAATTATTCAAAGCAAAATTCTCCCCTCATACCTATATTATACATAAATTAGCTGATAAAATGCAAATTAGATCAGAGGTCTTTGAATCTCTGAACAAAGACTAAACAAAGTAGTAAAACATTCCTAAGTGCATAAATTTTAGTGTGCTTTGTATAATTATAAATTATTATTTAAAGTAATTAAAAATATATCTGAGATTGAAATTATATTATCACCTAATCCTACGCATACAAAAGGAATTGAGTCACATGGAAGACATTGTAATTTCCCTCCCACCCAAAAAGTACTGAATCAGGTTCCAAGATGAGTATTCCTCTATGAATTAATATTATTACTGATCCATTGCTACAATTTCATATCTGGATAAACATATTAATCTCCATAGAATTGAATGGAGAATCCCTATTTTCATGAAAGTTTTAAAAGCCAAGAATCCAGATGGAGATGTGCAGATGATTTTCAGAAAAGTACTTTAACTCATAAGCCAAAACTCTAGGGAAATCGAAACATCATTGGTGATGCAATTAAATGACTCAATGTTCCTATATTCAGAGATAGTAATCTTCTATTGGCTGTTAATAGACTTCCCCAACCTAGTGCTCTCCAGATGTGTTCCCAGGATGGCTGAGAATTATGACAGTCCAATCCATATGAAAAACACCTGGTTAGGGAAATCTAGGCCATAAGAAAATACATGCTACAATCCACTGGGACATTTTCCTACATATCCCCACTGAAACAAAGAAGCAAACAAAACAAAAACAAAAAAAAACCACCCCACCATGCAGTTCCTATTGCTTATGTGAGGCTTTGTGCATGATAACTTCAGAGGAGTAGAACTCTTTTAAGGAAGCATTTATAATAGCTTGTCAACCATCACTTCAGCAAAGCTGTTGAGGGCTACTATAATAACAGGATGCAACACATCCTTTTTAGACAGTGCACGTGTCATATCTCTCCTGTGAACTTGGCAATGGGTCCCAGCTGATGGTTAGGCCCTTCCGGTATATCTGTGTTATCAAATGTGAAACTGGATCCAAATAATTATTTCTAGGAAGCAGGAATAACTATATCATGCAATAGACAAAGAAAAAAAATCAGTTTTTCAGCTTCTAAAAATATTTCATTGTTACAATTATTTCTGTTTCATGAGCTCATATTTAAAATTAGCAGTAGGGGTTCATCATTTTGAATAAGGAAGTCTAAAAATAATGTCAGTAACTCAAACAACTTGGTCCAAGAGGTTAATTACTTTTGATGTGGTGAATTTAACCACAAGTTGAATCCCCCTGCCCTTACCTTTTGTGTGATGAAGCCCAGGTGGCAGGATTCAAAAAGAAATACCCATATAGACATGAAAGATGAAAGAAATAACCATATAATAGCTAACTCATCAGTATGTTTGTTTCAGTGCAAAGCCTTGGGCAAAAACTCCAATCAGTTCTTCCATGTTTTTTTTTTCTTATTTTGACTTGAAAGGATAGGCCCCTCAAGGAAGTTCAAGTTCTATTTATTCACTTTGAAGGAAACACCACTAAACTTGATATTTACTTCAGAATAGGTAGTATGTCTCAGTTACTGCTCAAGTTGTTTGTTTAGGTTAAATGATTAGAATGACTGTCTGGGAAATACTTATACTTAAACATAGCTATTCAATTGTCCTTGAAGTATCTCCATGTGTGATCCTTAGCAATATCTAGGACCTTCAACACTCCTGCTAGGAGAGAGAAGCAAATATAATGTTGTTGTGAAGAGAAGACCCTGTTTCAAGGTCACTCCTAGCCATAGACACTTACTTAATAAAGTTCAGAAAGTAATGTACTCTTAATATGCAACCTATGCAATCTTAAATTATTCTGATTTTAATGCTTAATTTTATTGATTAAAATGTACACCATCCAGAGGCCATTTCTGTGGGAGAGGAGCAGTTATGAAGTGTAAAATAGATATATATGAGAGAGATGTGTGTGTGAGAGAGAGAGGGGGGGGAGAGAGAGAGAGAGAGAAAGAGAGAGAAAGAGAGATGATAGATAATATAGATAAGAGATAGATGATAGATCGATAGATTGATCGATAGATGATAGATGATATAGATCTGGAGTGTCAAACTTGATTTCATTGAGGGCTGATTGAGGGTTGTGTTTGACTTCAGGGGACAGGGTGGGAGTGGCCAGTGACCAGCTCAATGTCACTCATGTCAGGGGTGGCCTGAGCACTCTACCAGTGGCCCTCCCAAGCTCTGTTTTCACCAAGGGTTGCTGGAGGCTGATGTAGCTGAAAATGCATGGCCCTCCCAAGCTCTGTTTTTGCTGGCAGAGGTACCACAGGCTGGTCCTTCACTGTTTCCAGGGTAGCCCTGAGGGCCAAATTTACATGCCCCATGGGCCGGATCCTGAGCCTTGGTTTGATACCCCTGATATAGATGATAGATAGATGGAAGATGGATAGATAGATAGATAGATAGATAGATAGATAGATAGATAGATAGAT